GGCATGTGATCCCAGTACCGATGGTAAAGGCTCCGTACTTGGTTCATAATCTACTGTCACCATTTTGAAAATCTTAATTTTTGAACAAGGGCCTCATCAAATGCTCATTTTTTAACGTAGCCAATCCTGCTCTCTTCCATCCTGTGAGACTCGGGATGAAGGGTATCTCTTTTGGAAGACATCATCAACTCCTCTCTGGTGGGCTCCCACAACCTCCCATCACCAGTGGCTAATACCTCCATTGATTCATCCACCAGCACTTAACCACCAGCACTGCCTTTCTTAAGGATACATCCAATCACAGGCACAGTTCTTCCCATGTAGGAGTTACATTTAAGCAACTCGCAGGCAGCAGGTACTACTATCACCTCCAGTTACTAACAGGTTAGGGGATCTGCCCCTACACCAGGGAAGAGGTGGACGCCGAGTTCTGAAACCAGTATAAGCTCAGAACCAGGAGTGCAGTGGTCAAGAGAAGGGACCTTCCTCATTAGGGCCCCACACTCATGCCCATAAAGTATAATTATTAGTTATATATTTCTTATCTTTATGGTTGAGGGTATTACTAATGTCTCTCTCTTTTTTGCCTCCTTGCCCCCCACCCACCCACCATCTGGTACCTACCCAGCCCCAGGCCTTTACCACCCTACTGTCTGAATTCATGGGCAATGCATATAAGCATATAAGTTCTCCTTAGTTAGCTTCTTAAAATTCGTGCACAGGTAGGGTCCCTAGGCCTGGTAGTGATCAGGGACACTCAGGGCCTTCTGACTGCCAGCAGGGGCCTTCCTTCACTCAGCGCCACCCCTTGGTGGTCAGCATACATCATAGCAAGCGATAAAACTCCCAGTCTCCCAATCAAACTCTCGTGGGGACACTTTGCATATTAGCCATATACAGTCTGGAAAAAAAAATAAATAAAGTGTTGGAAGCAGCTATTAAAAAAAAAAAAAAAAAGTAACTTCCACCCTTGCTGGTTTTGCTCAGTGGATAAAGTGTTGACCTACAGAGTAAAGGGTCCCGTTTCTATTCTGGTCAAGGGCACATGCCCGGGTTGCTGGCTTAATCCCCAGTAGGGGGCATGCAGAAGGCAGCCAATCAATGATTCTCTCTCATCATTGATGCTTCTATCTCTCTCTGCCCCTTACTTGGTTCATAATCTACTGTCACCAGTAGATTATAAATTACTTAAATATTTTTTAAGTAATTTCCCTCTGATGGAGAACTCATTATTATTTACCGGGGCTTTTAGTTCAGCTGTTCAAAATAGAATTCATTTTCCTCCAAGTTTTAAAGTTTTTCAGTTTGATTAACACAATGCCTCTAAAACTTTGGCAACACCCTGACTTAAGAGTCTGTGCCACTAACATTCTTAAATTATATTCATTCCTGCCAAAATGCATGCCGTGAGTCTAATTTTGAGACACCAGGCAAACACAAGCTGAGGGACAAGCTGGAAGTAACTGGCCTGTCCTTTTCAAAAACGCCAATGCTACATCTACACAATGGAATACTATGCTGTCATAAAAAAGGAAGGAATTCTCATCATTTGCAGCAACCTGGATAGAACTAGAGAACATCATGCTGAGTGAAATAAGCCAGTCAATGAAAGAGAAATACCACATGACCTCACTCATTTATGGATATTAAAGAACATTATAAACTGATGAACCAAAAGACAGATATAGAGACAGTAAAGCAACAAGCAGACTGTCAAATTACAGCGGGGAGGGTAGGGAGATCTGGGGGAGATAAGAGATCAACCGAAGGACTTGTATGCATGCATATAAGTACAACCAATGGACACAAAACTCTGGGGAGGGAGGGTATATATGGGAGGAACGGTATATATGGGAGGGAGAGGGCAATGTTAAAATATGTACACAGATAATAATAAAAAATATTTTTAAAATAAATTAATTAATTAATTTAAAAAAACCGCCAACGCCACAGAGCTACGCCAGGGTGGAGGGGTGATGGAGAGAGCGGGGGCCACTAAATGCAACTGGCAACCCGCATCGGTTCTGGAACCAAGAGAAAAAACGCTGCAGCCCTGGCTGGGCGGCTCAGCTGGTTAGTGTCACCCCAATACGCCAAGGTTACTGGTTTGATCCCCAATCAGGGTACATATAATACAAGAATCAACTCATGAGTATTTAAACAACAAATCGACGTCTCTCTCTCCCTCTCCCCCTTCCTCTCTAAAATCTTTTTTTTTTTCAATGCTACTAAAGGACATTTCAGGGACAGTACTGCCTCGATGTTAAAGTTCCTGACTTGGCTCGCGGTACTGTGTTATGGAAGAGAAGGGTCCTCTTAGGAATTACACAGCGAAGTGTTTAGGAGCAAAAGGCATGACAGCCTCACCTTAGATCTCTAGCGGCTGAGACAGAGAGACCAGCAAAGCCCAAGTGGGAACACGCTGGCCACGGGGAACCGGTGGCAGGCGTGCAGGAGTTCTCTGCAGGAGGGCTGCAGCTCTCTGCCAGTCAGAAACTATTACCCCCAAAATGTTAACTCAGTCCCAGCACTGTTCTCTTAGCCAGGAAATGATGCTGAGGGCAGGGAGACCTCGTGGCCTGCCATCCATGAGGACTCGGTTCTGGTTTCTAAGCGTCTGGGAACTCCAGAAGGAGTGCTGAGAAGTCCCTTTTAACATGTCGTGGGATCAAAAAGGGAAAACAGTCCTGCGTGGACATACGTGTCCCGTGTGTTTGAGCTCGCGTTTGAGCGTCGTTGAGATCTTGGTGAAATGTCTCACTCGGGAAAATATTATCGAGTCATTAGACAGCGCGGGAAGGTCAGAAAAGGCTCCTTTCTCTTCCTCTCTCTGAAGCCTTCTGTTTGGGCTTCTCTCCCGGGCCCTTCCCCCAACGCGGATCAAATAACTAAACTCACCTCCATCACGCCCTGGCTGACAGTTCTCCCGGCGCCCTTTTCAAAACAAGCTGCTGGGCGAGGGCCGGGTTAATATTCAGAGCTGGGCTCCGGGCGGCAGCTCCTGTCGCATTGGCATGACAATGGGAACCTCCGGGGCCCCAAAAGGAGGCCGACAAAGGAGGACATGTTTTTACCACCGGAGCCATCTGCGCATTCTCTTTAGGGCCTCGGGGAGGACAGAGGGGTGCGGGCAGCAGCTGAGAGGGGGTCTGCAGGGGAGGGCATGAAAACCAGGCGGGGGGGGGGGGGGGGGGGAAGCAATTGCAATATGAAAAGAGCCGAAGGGCGGGAGGGCGCTGGACAGATGAGATGAATGGAAGCCTCCCAAAGCCCCTCCTCTACGCAGACCCAGCGGCCCTCTCCGCCTGCCGGCCGGCTTTGTTGGTTGCCAAGCACTGCACATGTCATCGTCAGAGTATGTTACTGAGGGAGGGTCTCATACGCACAAACCACACAGAACGCCCTCCCAGAGGGGTCTTCTGATTACCCGCGTGGAACCCCCAAGCCACCTGCCTCTGCGAGGATTATACCGGGTTTTCATTCTTTAGTTTGCAAAATGCCCTACACACAGCGGTTTAAGCGATAACAAAACACGCATTTCTATCCCCGCTCTGAAGTCCCCCTTCTCCCGGAGACGTGCAAATGTTTAAGACCACCAACTAGGAAACTCTATTCAGTGCCCTAAAACGAAAACACGTCCATGCCCTCAAGGGATTTTGTCGAAATTTCAATTTGGGGGCGGGGGTGGGAAGGGGAAGAGGAGGCCAGAATATATTCCGCTGACATTTTTCCCAAAAGGGAAAATTCTGCTGAAAACAACGGGAACAGGGACGGCCAGCTTCTCCGGAAGACTGAAGCGCTGAACAACAGCAGCTCACACCGGGCTTGGACCCGCTCCTCCTGCACCTGGCTTGTCTCTTTCAGAATCCTCCCTTTCCTGCCAGCGAGTCACAGCTCCGGCTCCCTCCGGCCTCCGCTAAACCATGATGAATCCTGAATGGGACCAGTCATCTTAGGTAAGGTGACCAGACGTGCTGCTTTTGGCGGGACAGTCCCGATGTCTAACAATTTGTCCGGTGTCCCACGGCGTTTTAGAAAAGTCCCGATTTTTGGAAAGAATTTTTAACAATTTGTCCCGCGTCCCGTGGCTTTTTAAAAAGTCCCAATTGTTGCCAAAAATTGGGACTTTTTTAAAATGCTGCGGGACAAATTGTTAAAAATCAGGACTGCCCCGCCAAAAGTGGGACGTCTGGTCACCTTAATCTTAGGGCCCTGCAGACAGTCACTTCCTCTCCTTTCTGAACACAGCCTCACGGGAAATCTGCTCGAGGACTGGGAGTGGGAAACGGGGAAGTCAGCCTTGGCCAGGAGCTCTGTGGGGTTTGGGGTGGGTTTTAAATCCACCACCTGGCATGCTCCCGTCTTGCCCGGGGTTAACGCCTGAAGGCTAGCTCCCATTCTCTTTGGCTCAGACTATGGGCTCTTCCCCCTGAGGACTGAGAAGATGCCAGCAAAGAGGGCTTCGCAGAGGCAGAATTCACGTAACTCTGGTGCCTCTTAAGAAGACGGATGTGGCTCATCTTGCAAGTGCACAAACATCCAACGTAAAAGTACCGGTACACAAGTAAACAGGTGAATGGGACACAGATGCCGCACGGAGGTAGCATTAGTGCCATAGTGTTCAAAGAGCATCTTTTTAAGCGGTGCCCCTTTGGAAAGGGAAGGGGGGCAAAGTTCCCCACCCCCCTCTGCAGTCAGACCCCGCAAGGTAAGGCACTAGCAGGCAGAGGCTGCCAAGTGCATAGAATTCAATTCCAGTGAGCCCCCAGGACCGGCTCTGAGAGCCTGGCCAGCTGGGGAGGCAGCCACACTCCCCGAGCCCCGGGGGACAGGCTGGCCTCCCGGTGCCAGCAGCGGAAGGCTGTCCTGCCACGCGGCGCCCACACCCCACCAGCCCCGGGCCTTGAACTCTGCTTCCGGACTGTCAGCGGCCTGTGATTGAGCTGCAGCCCGGCGGCCCAGGCCGCGGCAGGAGGCGGCCCCCGCGGAGCCCCGCTGACCTCTCAGTGTGAGCCGGCTGTAGACCTGCGAGTTGACTTCCTTGTCCCGCAGGTAGCATCGGATTTCCTCCACCGCCTCCCGGATGATGGTGACGGCCAACACGAAGCCCTGCGGAGAGAGGGACAGAGTGAGCCCGGCCGAAACCCCCTTCCTCTCCAGGGGCAGGGACGGAAAAGGCCGGAGGGCAGCAGAGCAGGACCTGCTGAGGGTCCCTAATGCACTGCCCAGCAAATCCGCTTCTCCGAGGGTCTCCTCCACACACACACACATACACACACGCTGAGGGACACTAGTCGACACGCCTGCACAAGCACAGCCCTGTTCGCCACCTCCCCAGGGCTCTCAGAGTAAACGATGTGAAAGCACCCACCCTGTCCATGCAGACAATGGTTGAAGGAGGCCACACTGACACCTGTATCTCGCTCGCCATGTGCTTAGCGCATTCCGCCCTCACACAACCCTCTGGACAGCTCCACCACCCGGGATCGCTGTGCTGCAGATAAGGAAAGTAGGCACTAAGAGGTTGGATAATCAAGCTCCTAGGAATTGTATATCCTAGTGGCCCGGTGCACAAAATTCACTCAGGGTGGTAGGGTCCCCCAGCCTGGCCTGTGCCCTGTCACAGCGCAGGAGCCTCGCAATTTGTCGCCCTAAAGAGGTAGGCCCCACCCACCCATCTGGGGCTCCTCGATGGATTGCCCTAAAGAAATAGGCCGAAGCCACGGGTCCTGCCTCCATGTCACGAGGAGCTGTAGGACCCCCAGGCCTCACCGCATGGAGCTGAGGGATCCCCCCCAGGACCCCTGGCGGAGCCGCGGGGAGGCCTCCACTGGGCCCCAGGCCTCCTGGTGATGGATTGTGTCAGGATGTAATGTCCCCACATTGCAAGTCCCCGCCCACCTGTGCCTGCTGCAAACATAGCCTCCTGCTGATTGGTTGTTACAATGAGGATGTCCCCACCACTTGCATATTACCCTTTTGTTAGTATAGACATATAAGCAGGAATTTTGAACACAGAATATCTGGCTTGAGATCTTAACATCCACCTTCTTCTGCATCTAGAGAAACTCTGACGGGCGGAGCCGAGGAGATGGACCACCAGCAGGAGTTAAAAGGAATGAGATACCTCGGCTTGCACGGACAGGGCCAGTAGGGAAATTAACCTTCCAGAACATAAAATGGAAACCGTTCACAGAAGTAACAAAGACTCCACACACTGGTTAAGACTCTCTGCCCTGGCCGGTGTGGCACAATTGGTTGAGCGTCATCCTGTGCACCGAAACGTTGCTGGTTCAATTCCTGGTCAGGGCACATACCCAGGCTGAAAGTTCAGCTGAGGTACGTATGTGAGGCAACCGACTGATGTTTCTTTCCCCGCCCCCCCCCGCCCCCTCTCTCTAAAAAATCAATAAAAACTTCTTTTTTCTTTTTTAAAGAAAGACTTTCTATCGAAACCGGTTTGGCTCAGTGGATAGAGCATCAGCCTGAGGACTGAAAAGTCCCAGGTTTGATTCCGGTCAAGGGCACATACTTGGTTGCGGGTATATCCTCATTAGGGGGCGTGCAAGAAGCAGGTGATCGACGATTCTCTCTCATCGATGTTTCTAACTCTCTATCCCTCTCTCTTCCTCTCTGTAAAAAATCAATAAAACATATATTTTTTTTAAAAATAAGAAAAAAAAAAGAAAGACTTTCTCATTTCCTTAACAACTATTTAGATTCTTCTGCTGAGAGGAACAAGGAAGGAGTGGGATGGACTGCAGGATGTAATGTCCTCCATTTTTATAAAGAAATATTATGAAGCATTAACATTTAAAACTGATCTTCCTGAACCACGCACCCCAACTCATAAACTCAGGGAGGCTGTCCCCTGTGCTGTCCACAGCATGGACCTACCTCTATCCAGTTTTTCCTCTTGTATCCACAAAGGAAAGAACCTTCATCCGTTTTTATTTTTATTTTAAAGATAATTTCTTTAATGTATTGATTTTTTTTAGAAAGGCAGAGAGAAAAGAGCGGGGAAGAGACAAGGATTGCTGTTCTGCTTATTTATGCATTCACTGGCTGCTTCTGGTACATGCCCTGACCCAGGATCAAACCCCAAACTTTGGAGAACCGGGACGACTCTCTACCAATCGAGCTACCCGCCCAGAGCCTCATTCATTTTTTCTTACAAGATGCCCTCATCATCCCTCCTTTTAAAATCACTTTTTCAAAACACAGAGAGCCAAAGTCCCACAGAGGGTAGCAGGAGGGATTCTTTGCTGACTTCATGTCCGTGACGCTGACCCTGTGAATACATTAACTCTGATTCCGATCCTTATGTGCATCTAGCCAGAGAGACGCTGCTCTGTGACCCTCCCCCAGAGCCCAGACACCTTTACAGCCACAGACCCCTCCAGCCGCGGCCGCCAATCAGAGGCGCAGAACAGAAGTGTCCGCAGACCTGGTACGGAGGAGAGGAAGCTTGTTCTGGCAGCACGGGCCCGGTCTGCAGAAGCCGGTCGACTGCCCCCACCTCGTCCCGCATGCTGCACTTTTGTTGTACTGGGCCGGAGGCCAGGTTTTTTTGTTGTTGTTTGTTTTTTTTCAAATGTTCTGGTTTCTCTTTCCCCTGCATGGCCTGGCTCAGTCCCACGGACGACAGTGGACGTGTGTGCTCTGCAGAGACAGAAGCTGTGCACTAGCCAGTTTGGCTCAGTGGATAGAAGCATCAGCCTGCAGACTAAAGGGTCCTGGGTTCGATTCCAGCCACGGGCGCATGCCTGGGTTGCAGGCTCAATCCCCAGTAGGGAATGTGCAGGAGGCAGCTGGTCAATGATTCTCTCGCATCATTGATGTTTTTTATCTCCCTCTCTCCCTCTCCCTTCCTCTCTGAAATCAATAGTGACACTGTCGTTCACTGTCTGGATATATATATATCCATCCATCCTCGGGTAAGGATTAAATAACTAAATAAACAAAGGAAGAAGCTGTAACCTCCCAGCTGCCAATGAACACGGCCTGCCGAGTTCACCCCACCTACCCTCCCCCACCCCCAAACACACCGTTCTCATTAATGCTGGAGGACACGCCATGCCCTGGGCTAGACATTGACGTACAACAAGATGCAAATGTGGTCCGGAAATAAGTGCCAGCCGTCCCCTCCGCAGGCCCTTCACGTCCACAGACATCTAGAAGGAGGTCTGAACGCGGGCCTGGGCCGGTGAGCCCACGCTGAGCTTGTAGAGAAACAGCAGGCAATGGCAGTGCACAGACAAGCCACCGTGAAGGTGTCAGCAGGCTCTTCGGTGATGCTGAACATCAGAAGTCGATTTACAGAAACAAAACTACCCGCAAGAGACAGGATTCAGAAAAGCAGCTGCCTTGGCTGGGAAGGGGCTGGCAGGAGAGGGGCATGGGGAACTTTCCAGAATGACAGAAGTATTCTTGTCTTACTGAGGTAGTGTTCACACAGGCGCTGATGAAGGTCAACTCTCGCTGAGTCAGAAACACCATGTCTGTGCACTTTTTTTTTTAATATATATATATATATATATATATATATATATATATATATGATTGATTTCAGAGAGGAAGGGAGGAGAGAGAGAGAAACATCAATGATGAGAGAGAATCATGGATCAGCTGCTTTGTGCGCACCCCACACTGGGGATTGAGCCCACAACCTGGGCATATGCTCTGACTGGGAATTGAAGCGTGACCTCCTGGTTCACAGGTCAACACTCAACCACTAAGCTACACCGGCCGGGCCATGTCTGTGCATTTTATGGTGTCTAGATTATATCTTAATAACAAAACAAAACAAAAAATCTAGATTTATTACTTGGACTTCATACAATGTTATGGGTTATTTCTGCTATCTCCTGGTTAAATTCTTCCTCTACTATATTAGTACCAAGAGAAAAAGTAATTAAAGCTAGAACTTAATCCAGACAGTGAACAACAGTGTCACTAGCGCAGGTTTTAAAAACTAAAATGAGCCGAAACCGGTTTGGCTCAGTGGTAGAGCGTCGGTCTGCGGACTGAAAGGTCCTGGGTTCGATTCCGGTCAAGGGCATGTACCTTGGTTGCAGGCACATCCCCAGTAGGGGGTGTGCAAGAGGCAGCTGGTTGATGTTTCTCTCTCATTGACATTTCTAGCTCTCTATCTCTCTCCCTTCCTCTCTGTAAAAAATCAATAAAATATATTTTTAAAAAAAAACAAAAAAAAAACCTAAAATGAGACGATGGTCTATATGCCGGGAGCTATCGGAAGCACTTTACGTGTTGTTATCACGTAACATGTCATCCTCCCAATGAGCCAAGGAAATGGACACGATCACCCATTTCACAGATGTGGAAACTGAGGCTCAGCAGTTTGACACGACTTCTCATCCACGTGCGGCCGAGGCCTGCGCTCCGCCACACGCTCCACGGCCCTCATGCTAAGCCGCTGCACTCACACCTGGGGTGAGATGCCAGGGCTTTTGGGAAGGTCAGAGACCTTTCTAAACGTGTCCTAGCCAAGAGCTGCACTCTGATTCCCTCCACAGACACCCAGGGCCTTTAGGGGAAGTCAGCCACAGTCACCTAGCAACAGGTGGTGTCCAGTTCATCTTCGACCATCCACTCCCTGCTCTGCGGGCCCGGGAAGAAGGCCAGGACGTCTACCAGACAAACATGCCCTCTGGTCCCAAACCGTCCCGGGCACAGGCACAGCTGGCGATTCCAGGGGCCCTGACGCCGTCAGAAACCTCAGGACAGCCCGAGCTGCCCTTAGCCTCCGGCTTCCAGCTGTGGCCAGATCCCGGGAAAGCCAGGGAATCCGGCTTCTCCTGGAAAATCCCAGTGGCATTTTGGTGAGGAGACAAGACTGGAAGAGTTAAAAGCCCGCTAGGTCACCCTAGCCTCCACCTTCCCCCAGTCCTCTTGCCTCACCCCAGTTGTAATACAAATAAATATTCACTAATTAATAAATAATAATACAAGAATAAACTCTGTTTCTGGGCACTCATAACTGTACGCTTATTTCTGCCCACCCCTGTATTTGTCGGGGGGGAGGGAGAGGGTCATAAAAATGGAAGCCTATGGTCCATGTTGTTCTGCAATCTGCTCTTTCCACGTCAAGAAAAACATGAGTCACGCCTTCCCGTGGAAGCCCAGCGGCGTGGCTTCCCTGCTTCTCACTCCCGGGCAGCCTCCCGGAGTTCAGCCCCACCAGCGTGTGGGTCTCTACCGAGGGACAAGTGTTTGTTTCCAACTGTTCATTATACACAACATGTCGCAAAGAATCTCCCTGGCCCTAGCCAGTATGGCTCAGTGCATAGAGCGTCAGCCTACAGACTAAAGGGTCCCGGGTTCAATTCCAGTCAAGGGCATGTACCTTGGTCGAGGGCACATCCCCAGTAGGGGGTGTGTGGGAGGCAGCTGGTCGATGTTTCTCTCCCATTGATGTTTCTGGCTCTCTATCCCTCTCTCTTCCCCTCTATAAAAAATATATTTTATTGATTTTGTACAGAAAGGAAGGGAGAGAGATAGAGAGTTAGAAACATTGATGAGAGAGAGTCATCAATCAGCTGCCTCTTGCACACCCCCTACTGTGGATATGCCCACAACCAAGGTACATGCCCTTGACCGGACTCGAACCCGGGACCCTTCAGTCCCCAAGCCGACGCTCTATCCATTGAGCAAAACCGGTCTCGGCAAAATATATATATAAAGAATCTCCCTGTACACACGGCCTCGCATGCACCCCAAACCCCTTCTGACATCCCAAGACTGTTCCTCGGAAAAGAAAGGGAGCTCCGTCTCTCTGAGACCGAAAACCTTCACATCCGAGCATGAACTCAAGTGACTTCCTGAGCTCCTCGGCCCGTCCAGTTCTCCCTTATCAAGCGAGGAATCCTTTTCCCTGGCAGCACGCGTTGTCCAGTCCATGGACGCTCAATCCGCCTTCGGAAGACTTCCACAGAGCTGACCTAACTTCCCTCCAGCTTCCTCAGGCAGGCGAATCCCTGTGTAAGTCCACCCCTCCCCGCTTAGTCATAGCTACAGGAATCTGGTTAAGAGAATGAAGAGCTCATTCCCAGTGTGGCTGAGGTCCCCTCCCCACCACAGAGGCCAAGAGAAGGTAAACGAGGTAGTGGGGTGTGAACAGATCTGCACCCCAAGAACCTTCCGGAGGATGGTTTATACCACAGGCTGGGCAGACGGGCACCGTGAGGAACGAGGACACGCGCCAGGACAGATGGCACGCTTGAGCTGCCAGGGGCAGGGAAGAGGGGGGAGACACACAGGTAGCGATCTTCGGGCGCACTTGGGATCCCAATTTACAAAACATACGCGTTTCCATAACATGTAGAATTTACCACCCTGTATGCTAGCGTGCGTATAAAACACAGGCACATGTGAGAGACGAAAAGGAAACTGACCAGAAATGTAAGTGAGGTATCTCGGGGGTGGCTGCACACGGGCATTTGTGTGTGTGTGTGGGGGGTTTCCCCCCAGTTGTTCTTCCGATTTTTTCCCCAATAATAAAGAGTCTCTTTGTCGTTGAAAAAGGAGAAGAAAAATGAACAGAAGCCTATTGGGAGGCAGTGGAAAGCAGCACATCTGGGTTTGCAAAGAAACCCACAGACAGACTGGAGCAGTAGGGTCTGGAGCATTCCACCGCCCAGCGGGGTGCCCCGAGCACAAAGGCACCCCCTGGCGGTCTAAGGAACTCCGACAATGGTTAGCAGATCATTTGGTGAGTGTGTCCAATCCACACTCCGTGCCTTAACATTTTTTAAAGAGTCATCCATGTTCAAAAATCAAGAAGAGATGCTGAAGATTAGAAAGAAACATTACTGAGAGCTGTGTATCTCTCTTTTTAATTTTCTTTATTAATTTTTAGAGGAAGGGAGAGAAAAAGAAACATACATTTGTGGCTCCACTTATGTATGCATTCATTAGTTGTTTCTTTTTCTTTTTTTTCTTTTTTTCTTTTTTTATAAATTCAGGTTCACAGTTTTTATTTTTATTTTTCATTTTTTACAGAGAGGAAGGGAGAGAGATAGAGAGTTAGAAACATCGATGAGAGAGAGTCATCAATCATCTGCCTCCTGTACACCCCCTTCGGGGGATGTGCCCGCAACCAAGGTACATGCCCTTGACAGGAATCGAACCTGGGACCTTTCAGTCTGCAGGCCGACGCTCTATCCACTGAGCCAAACCGGTTTCGGCTACTGGTTGTTTCTTGTATGTGGAACAACAAATCCAAGTTCCTTTCTCTCTCTCTCCCTTTCCCCTCTTTATCAATTTTAAAACAAATCTTCCAATTAAAAATGTAGCCCTAGCTGGTTTGGCTCAGTGGATAGAGCATCAGCCTGCAGACTGAAGCGTCCTGGGTTTGATTCCAGTCAAGAGCACATGTCCAGGTTTCAGGCTTGATCACCAGTCAGGGGTGTGCAGGAAGCAGCTAATCAAAGATCCTCTCTCATCACTGATGTTTCTCTCTCTCTCTCTCTTCCTCTCCCTTCCTGTCTGAAATCAATAAAAATGTATGTTTAAAAAATGTAACCATGTTTGTGAAAAGAAGATCTAAGTATTCCCCCTGCCCCCCGAGTCCAGCTGAGAGAAAAACAGGCACAATCACACTTCATAGTGTCTCTGTAGAAAAGATGTCACTCTGTCCTCTCCAAGGCCCATCACGCTGAGCTCCTTTTTGTTCTCCAAGCCCTCCGAGCTCCGTCTACCACAGGGCCTTTGCATGGCTGCTGTCTGCCCGAAGCCCTCCCACCCTCCTAGTCTCCTTCCCATCTCCTCCTCATGACCATCCTGGCTGGGCTGCCCCTCCACAACCCCACCTTCATTCATTCAACCAATACTGCAGAAGCCTGAATTCCCTGCCTGTCCTGTGACCTTATTCTGCTACCCTCACAGAACTCCCCTCAATCTGAAACAACTTTATTAACCTGTGTACTGTCTATCCTCTGAAAATCAACTCCAAGACGGCAGGAATTTATACGCTCTGTTCATCGCTGCACCCCCAGCATCCAGCAGTGTGCCTGGCACATAGTAGGTGCTCAATTACCATTGGCCAAAGGAAAGAGCAAAAAGCAGGCAAGAAGAGGAAGGGAGAGCATTCTGGTCGGCTCTCTCACATTCGTACACACGAAAGCACGGAACCTGGTACTCTTTTAAACCCTCCCACTAAACAGTATACACAGAGCACACACACTGATGGGGGGGCATGGTCTCCCCCGTTTGCCCCTCTGTCTGCTGAGACCGTGAACGCCGGAGGAACAGAGCGACAGGAGGAAGGAATGGCACAGAACTTACCAGCGTCTGACCCGGCTGATGTAGGAAATGGGGCTGCCACCTTAAAACCCGGGGGGCGCCCAATGTGTTAGCTTGAGGGTGCCCTCTTCCTTAAAGGGCTACTCTCCCATTCCACATGCTAGAGTGAGAGCGACACGGAGCTGTCTGTCCCAACCTCTGCAGTCACCGGGCAAGCCAAGCCGGTACTCACCAGGGGGACCCAGTAGGTGTAGAGCGCACCAAGCCTCATCTCAGGTACAAACTGGGAGCAGGCGAGGAGTAAGAAGTAGAGGTTGAAAAAGTACTTGAACTGGTTGAACAGCACCTGGAAAGGAGAGAGGAGAGAGAAGAGACATTCAGGGCTTGTCAGACAGGACAGGACGGGGCAGGGTGGGTGGGAGGTGAATAATGTCTTAACCCTTTCCTACAGCCCTGGCCGTGGCTCAGGCGGTTGGAGCGTCATCCTGTACAACAAAAGGTTTCAGGTTCAAGCCCCAGTCAGGGCATACTTTGGACGGGACACAACAGATTAATGTTTCTCTCTCACATCGATGTTTCTCTCTCTCTCTCTCTCTCTCTCTCTCTCTCTCTCTCTCTCTCTCTCTCTCCCCTCCCTCCTCCCTCCTCTTTCTCTCTAAATCAATTTTTAAAAAACATGTCCTCAGGTAAAGATGAAGAAAAAAAACTATCCTACAAAAGAACACATGATACCTTTCCCATAAAGTTTAAATAGTTCTCTGTGTAAAAACAAAATTTTTAAAAAATATATTTTTATTGATTTCAGAGAGGAAGGAAGAAGGAGAGATGGAAACATCCATGATGAGAGAGAATCTTGTATTGGCTGCCTTCTACAAGTCCCCCAGCCCACAACCCGTGCATGTGCCCCTGACCGGAATTGAACCCAGAACCCTTCAGTTTGCAGGCCGACGCTCCATTCACTGAGCCAAACCATCCAGGACTAAAAGAAAAAAAAAAAAATGTTTTTTAAGTAAAAATATAAATATCAATATATGTAGACACTGTAAACACCAAGTTCAAGACCATAGTTACCTCTGGGGTGGGGAGGGCACGCTGAGGGCTTCAACGTGTCTGCTCTGTTTTCTTTCTTAAACCATCTATGTTATAAGTACAGGTAAGCCGCTCAACATGTCATTTTTAAGAATAAGTATTAGCGGGAAATGCCTATGCTGTAAACTTGATCAAAAAAGCAGGCCATTAAAAAATTTTTTTTTTTTTAATTTAAAGTAAGATAAACTGTCATTTCCACGATGTGATCGCAATGCCATAGACACATCCAGCAGAGCCCCATCCCGGGGGGCGCTGGATTCTGGCGGCTTGGCCTGCTCCCAGGTGCCCTGGCAGGAAGACTGATCCCACAGGACTGGGCCAATGGCAATGAATGAAAATGGGAGTCTCGAGCAGCTGATGTGGCTCAGTGGGTGAGTGTTGACCTATGAACCAGGCCACAGTTCAATTCCCGGTCAGGGCATATACCCAGGTTGTGGGCTCACATCCAGTGGGGGGTGTGCAGGAGGCAGCTGACCAATGATTCTCTCTCATCACTGATGTTTCTTTCTCTCTCTCCCTCTCCCTCTCTGAAGTCAATAAAAATATATTTTTTTAAAAAAGAAGATGATGAGTCTCTCCCAGGCTAAGGCGGTGAAGAGCCATCGCTGGACCACCACTCCTGCCTGGCCCCGGGGACGCTGGCGGCCAGAATTCCAGAAGGCGCAGCTCCCACGTCTGCACCAGAATTCCCAAGAACAAGAAATAAACGTTTTCCTGACTTAAGTTACTGAGAACTGGGGGGAGGGTTGTCGGGGAGGGCTGAGACAGCGAGCCATGAATGTAGTCAAAATCACCCTTAAAAAATCATTCAGATATGTAATACCTTAATCAATAAAGAAATTTTTAAAAATCATTCAGGGTGCATGCAGGGTGGAAGGGGTCAATGGGGGGAAAAGGCGATATCTGTAATATTTTCAACAATATAGATAACTTTTTTAAAAAAGAAAAATTGAGCCAAAACTGGTTTGGCTCAGTGGATAGAGCATCGGCTTGAGGATTGAAGGGTCCCGGGTTCAATTCTGGTCAAGGGTATGTACCTTGGTTGCGGGAATGGCCCCAGTAGGGGCGTGCAAGAGGCAGCTGATTGATGACTCTCATTGATGTTTCTAACTCTCCCTCTCCCTTCCTCTCTGTAAAAAATCAATAAAATATTTTTTTTAAAAAAAAGAAAAATTGAAACTATGCAATTAAAAAATTAGTCTACTGTAGACTACAAAGAAAAGGTAATGGACCGAAACCGGTTTGGCTCAGCGGTAGAGCATCGGTCTGCGGACTGAAGGGTCCCAGGTTCAATTCCGGTCAAGGGCATGTACATTGGTTGCGGGCACATCCCCGGTGGGTGTTGTGCAGGAGGCAGCTGGTCGATGTTTCTCTTTCATCGACGTTTCTAGCTCTCTATCTCTCTCCCTTCCTCTCTGTAAAATATCAATAAAATATATTTTTTTAAAAAGAAAAAGAAAAAGTAATGGGAGTCCATCGTTAGCCTGTTCAGAGGTAAAACAGCCTTGTGAATAAAGGTATAGACTCTGGCTAAAAGAAAAAAAGCCTTCGAAGGGACCTTTAGCTACAGTATAATGTATGTGTGTTTCCATATTATCTCACAATAAATGGAGGATAGTAATTTTATTCCTTTCCAGCATTGGCACGGGTTGCCGCTGCGGCTTCTAAAGTCCATCAGTGTCTGGAGGCCACGGAGGATGAAAATCGGTTAATTTACGTGTGTCGGGGAAGGCTGGGGGAGGCCATGGCCATGTATTGGTCTGAGTTAATGGGAAGTAAGTGCCATGACTGCAGTCACACACCATGCAAATCAGAAAGTCATTAGCAAAAATGTTAACAGAGCAAAAGACGTTAACAGGAATTCTTTGGGTGAAAGGATTAAAATGCATCTTTTTTTTTTTTTTATTTCTCTATACTCTCATCCATCAACTTTCCTACAGGTAATAAGTGTTTCGTGATGATGGGGGAAATTTAAGCACTGCAGTTTTCCGGTGTTCCAGTTATAATGCTAGGTCCCCGGCATATCTTTTTCTCTCTCACGAACTCAATAGATGGGAAGTTGATCTAACTGATCAGGGGTCTCCCAGCCAGGCGGACAGACAGAGAGCAGCCACCCCGGTGCTTAAGGGGGTGTGCTCACAAAACCTGCCCCGGGGACCTCCGTCCTCTAAGCTGGCTCCACGGCCTACATTAGGTGTGGGAAGAAAAAAACGGGGTGGCCTTGCACATACGTACCCCAGGAAGGAAGGTGAAGAAGTTGTACTTCTGGTTGTTGATGACATTTCGGGGGTACCGCTGATCCCTCTTCTCGGGGTGCCCCAGCCAGACCGTGCGGGGCCTGGGCTCTCCCCCACCACAGCATCTCAGCCACTCACAGCACCTGCGGGAGAGACAAGCCCACAGTGTCAAGGCCAGGGCCTTCTCAGCATGTTTTTCTCCAAAGCCTCGGCACCGGGCACATGTGGGGGAGATGGGAAACAGAACTGGGGCTTCTAAGAAGCTGGGATCGCACGCAATCCAACATGCTTTGCCCCCCAAGTCCAAATTATCTATTTCAAGAAATAGAATTCATCTGTCCACGGGCCAGTTGGTCAGCACTTTTTCATTTTACAGAGGAGAGGAGAAAGCTCAGGAGAGGGGGCGCAGCCCCCAGGTTTGAGGAGATGATCGAAACAGCCACGTCTGGCTCTGAACCACATCCGTTTGGTCTGACAGCCCTGCTATTCAGGTTACACCGCGCTCACTGTGCAAAGAAGGGGAGAGTCTACCTTCCCCAGCGCTCCCCTCGGAGGGACAGACAGACGGAGAGCCCCCCCAGCGTGACCTGGACAGGGGCCAGCGGCCAGGCTGGAGGCGGACTGGCCCGGAGACCCGCCGCCCCGCCTGGCCGGCCAGGTCACCCACGCACAGGCTCAGGGAGCGCCTGGGAACAGGCCGCCCGGAGACACCCCGCACGGCAGTCTGTCTTTCAGGAGAGCGACAAGCCCTGGTGAGCACTGCACAGAAGCAGCCCACGGCCACCTCCGGCCCCCAACACACGGCCTGCGGGAGGCGCCCCGCCCTGCCAGCCCGGGAGGCACCCAGCAGAGGGAAACCAGCCAGGCAGGACTCACATCATTCCTGGTCCCGGAGGAACGCCTTCTCCGTGTCCTGCAGGCCGAGCAGGCCCCGGCCAGGTGCTGGCGTCCGAGGCTGAGCAAACACAGTCCCTGGCAGCAGGACCCCGAAAGTTAGCAAGCCAGCAAGCTGCCTGCTCGGGTGTTCAAAATTTCCACGCTGAAACACGATGCCGCTTCTTAAAAATAGCTTCCCGTTCCAGTAAGCTGCTGCCCGGGGCGGTGTGGCTCTGATAAGGACAGCCTCACTCCTAGCAACTCAACCGTGTGGGCACCTCTCTGAGCTGTCCAAAGGCCAGAGACACACAGAAGCGTCAAGGGAGCCAACCCATTCCTGCTCGTAGGTGTGACTTACCCACATTGGCCATCTGTGGGCACTCTAAGTGTTGAATGAATGAGGGAAGCTGGAGGGAGGGCCGGAGGGTTGGTTCATTGGATAGGAAGTACATCCTTCCATTTGCAGAACCGGAAATTCTCTCCCCATCCTACAATAACCCTGTAATGATGGATCCCACCTCTGTCTGTACTGACAGCTAAAGAATGAGTCTGCTAGTATGGGACTCACATACAGTCGGGCTGGCGGTTTACAGAAATTTTGTCTGTCATGTTTTAGCACCGTGGTCGGCAAATTGCAACTGGTGAGCCACATGGGGCTCTTTGGGCCCTTGAGTGTGGCTCTTCCACAACATACCACGGCCTGGGCGAGTCTATGTTGAAGCAGTGGAGTTAGAAGAAGTTTAAGTTTAAAAAATAAATGGCTCTCCAAAGAAATTTCAATCGTTGTACTGTTGATATCTGGCTCTGCTGACTAATGAGTTTGCCGACCACTGCTTTAGAGAAGGTTCGGCACAGCAAGCTGCCAGGCTCAGCTGCTCGTTCCTTCACTGGCAGGTGCGAGCACGTGCCCAGAGCAGCAGGACATTCAGTGTGGCCTGCGCTGTGAAGGCAGAAGCCGGGAAATGAAACTGGTGGTTCATCAACCCTGGCTGTCTAAATGAACAGGGAACGTCCACAAGACGGAATCCCCAACCATCTTTGAAGACTGAGAGAGAGCTGCATGGGCCAGGTGGCCCTACTGAGAGAGATGCTAAATTGAAAAGCCAGGAGCCCCGGCCTGTGTGACTCAGTTGGTTGAACGTTGTCTCATGCCCCGAGAGGTTGCTGGTTCGATTCCCGGTCAGGGCACAAGCCTGGGTTTCATGCTCCATCCCTAGGAGGGGGCAGGCGGGAGGCAGCTCTCCCTTCTTCTCTCTAAAATCAATAAAAATGTATGTGTGTGTGTGTGTGTGTGTGTGTGTGTGTGTGTGTGTGTGTTTAAAAAAGGAAGGAAGGAGCCGAAGCCGGTTTGGTTCAGTGGTAGAGCGTCGGTCTGCGGACTGAAAGCTCTCAGGTTCTGGTCAAGGGCATGTACATTGGTTGCGGGCACATCCCCAGTAGGGGGTGTGCAAGAGGCAGCTGGTCGATGTTTCTCTCTCATCGATGTTTCTAGCTCTCTATTCCTCTCTCTTCCTCTCTGTAAAAAATCAATACAATTTTTTAAAAAATTTAAAAAAAGGAAGGAAGGAGCTGAGAAGTATGTAGCTACAGACTTACACAGGCAGAAAATGTCTTTGATGGTCTGTTCATTCCCTGGGCGCTCTGTCTTAGAAACCAATCAATTTGTTTTGTTTTATTTTACTTTGCTCAAGCCAATTTTGGTTGGGCACCTGGTAACCACTACGCCAAACCTATCGGACGGTCCTGTCTGCCGCATGACCAGGCCCTCCTTAAGGCTGTATCCCCCTGGATTTACGTGCCTGAGATCCCAAGCTTCTGAAGAGTTCCCGCTAGGCGACTGTGTGGAAAAAGGGAACCCTCGTGCACTGCTGGTGGGACTGCAGACTGTGTAATTCCCTATTACAGCAGCCACTGTGGAGTTCCACTAAAACAGTACGGAGATTCCTCAAATAATTAAATATGGAACCGCCATTTGACCCAGCGATCCCATTTCTAGGACTATATCCTAAGAAACCCGAAGCACCAATCAGAAAGAAGGTATGCACCCCTATGTTCATAGCAGCACATTTTACAATCGCTAAGATCTGCAAACAGCCCAAGTGCCCATCAGTAGATGAGTGGATAGAAAGCTGTGGTACATTACACCATGGAATACTATGCAGCAGTGAAAAAGAAGACTCTCTTACCCTTTGAGACAGCATGGAGGGACCTGGAGAGTATCATGCTAAGTGCAATAAATCAGTCAGAGAAAGACAAGTATCACATGATCTTACCCATATGTAGAATCTAAGTAACAAAATAAGCTGATGAACCGAGTGGATCCAGAGACATGGAAGCATGGGATCTCAGAGGGAAGGTGTGGGTGGGTGGGAACTGATCAACCAAAGAACCTGTATGCATATATGCATAACCCATGGACACAGACCATCGGGTGATGAAGGCCTGGGGCAGGGGGCGGGGTGTAGGGAGCAGCGTGTGGGGTTGGGCTAGAGGGGGTCAATTGGGAAAAGGGGACATATGTCATAATTTCAACAATAAAGATTTTTTTTTTTTTTTAAAGAGCGTTCCAGCTATGCCTTAAAGCCTGGGTTCGCCATCCTGACCTCTCCGTTCTCCTGACCTCTTTGGAGCTGTGTGTCCAACACGGGAGTTGCCAGCACACGCGGCTGCTTCCCCTTTAACTAACTGAAGTAAGAGAACTACAAGGATCAGCTCCTCATTCACAGCCACGTTTCAGGCTCCAGAGCCTGCGGGCCCGAGCTGTGGCCTGGACTGTGCGGACACAGAGCATTCCAGCAGGACAGGAAGTTCTCTTGGACAGCGCTGCTTTCTCCCTCTCCCCTTCCGAGACACCGCCCCACCTGACTATTTTACTTTTTATTTTTACAAAGGGAGGAAAGAAGGGTGAGAAAAACATCGATGTGAAAGAGAAACATCGACCGGCTGCCTCTCGAACGCACCCCAACCAGAGATCAAACCCACAACCTAGGTGTGTGTCCTGACTGAGAATCAAACATGTGGCCCGTGGGACGATGCTCCAACCAAGTGAGCCACACGGGCCAGGGCGTCCGCCTGACTTCCAAATCGATGTCAGTGCCAAAGAAGACAGATGAGGACATTGAAGAAAACGTTCTAAGCAGTTTCCAAACTTCAGCCGTTTTCATACAAGGGATTTCTGCGATATCCAACTACCTCTACTTCCTAAACTCGCGCTTTTGCCTAAATGTGCACACCTTACATCCGTGATTCTCAACCAGGGCTGCAGGTTAGCCACCGGCAGGAAGTAGGCAGAGGAGGCCAGGATGCTGATCCACATCCTCCAACGTACAGGCAGGCCCCAGACAGAGCATGAACCGGCCCCAAATGCCTGCGGTACCCAGGTCAGAACTCCATTCCCATCAATGTATTTTATTTTATTTTTTTTAAATATATTTTACGGATTTTTACAGAGAGGAAGAGAGAGGGCTAGAGAGTTAGAAACATCGATGAGAGAGAATCATTGATCAGCTGCCTCTTGCACACCTCCTACTGGGGATGTGCCCACAACCAAGGTATATACTCTTGACCGGAATCGAACCTGGGACCATTCAGTTCGCAGGCCGACGCTCTATCCATGGGGCCAAACCAGTTTTGGCTCCATCAATGTATTTTAACAGGTACCTACACACCACTACCATAAATGAAAAAGCATCACGCTTTGTCAGACCAAAGGCAAACACCAAAGTCAGTGCAATGGTCACGCAATGAGAAGCTAACAAGTCCCCAGTGGCTGTGCCTGAAGCGGTGGCCCGGGCCGCTGGCTCCTCCTCCCCCTGTGACGCGGAGTCACGGGCAAGGGTCCGCTGTGAAAAGGGGGCGCCACCCGGGTGAGCGATGTTGACGGGAAACTGGAAAAGGCGGGGGGTGTCCTGCCACACGTCCCACTGTGATTCCGCTCCTGCCCCTGCATTGCTCTGACTTTATCTCACCGCAGCGTCCAGAAACGTGTCTTAGGAACTCACGTCCTGCACCAGAAGCCTTGGGCGTGGTGGCAAATTTACAAGTGACCAAGTTTCCTTCGACCTGTCCAAACAGAAGGGGTGGCGGCGAGGCTCCTTCTCAGCTTCTGGATTTACCACCTGCAAATCTTTCCTCCCCGCGTGGCCGCTGCCAGACCCCGTCCGTCCGTCTTGTGGGTGGACGCCTGGCCCCTCCCGCTCCACGGTCTGGGAGGAAGGCGCCCAGAGCGATGTTGTGACAGCTGTCACCTGGTGTCTGTGACAGCTGT